GCAATCGTTGATTTCCTTCAAAATAAGGCCGAAGATGCGGAGAAAATTGAGAGTTTGCTATATCGTTAGGTTCTTCATGATCAGAGCTATCCGATGGTATAAATTTTGTATCATTTGGGCCATATTTTTACAAGTTATAGCAAAACGACGGTTTGCTGCGGAAAGTTGTATCACTTCCCGGCGATTGAACAAAAATTAGGGGGGGGGGGGGTATTGTAAGTAGTGAATAATAGGTTCAGTTTCGATCTTGGTTGAAAATGCTCGCAGAATAAAATTAGCCTTGCAACTAGCTAATTGCACGATTTTGTCAATATAGTCTTCAAAAGAAAGAGTCCGTGAATAGAGTATCCCCAAATCACGCACTGTTTCTGATTCTTTTACTTCTGTACCGCAAATAGAGAAGGTGGCATTCGTTAAACGGCAGGGACCTAGTCGTAAAACTGTAGTCTTTTGAGAGAAATTTCAAGTTTCCATTTCTGTGACCACTTGGAAATGGAATTCAGCGCGGTCTGCAATAATTGAGGCTGATCTAAGCGAAATATTTTGACGTCATCAGCGTACATCAAACAGTACACATTCGGTGGAAGGCACTGTGGCAAGTCATTAATATGCAGAGGGAACATAAGGGGACCAAGACAAGTGCCTTGCGGAACGTTTTAATAAATACATTTTGTATCTCATCTAGGCATGTGGTGCGCCAGTTTAGATTGCCTGAAAAAACCCTGTTTTGGCAGGAGAGGGAAGCTCGTGGGCAGGTGTGAAAGCGAAAGCTTAAAGTCCGTGTAGGCGGCAACAACTGTCGTACCATATGTCTTCTTATTGGAGGAGATCCGTATTTTTTTCACAGCTTCATCAAACATCAAGCGATCAAGAAAGGGTTATACTGCGTGACGCGGCTATGAGCCCTACCTAGCAATGTCACATAACCGGCATCTTTCCACGTTTAAGTCAGCCGACTTTGTCCAGCTTTTCCCCATATATGAAAAAGCTAAGCATAACCTTTGCTGTAAAGCAATACGGTTGGGAGCTTGTTTCAACAGGTCCTATGTGATAGCAAATAACTGGAGGCAGGGTCAACCTTACATTGGCCGGCTTCACCTCGGTCGTAATTAAGAGTTTAGGAGGGGATCTGAGATGGAAGTGTGGTTTAGTTGGTAATTTGGGACGTGCCTCAAAAGTAGTAAATTTCCTATTGCTATTCATATCCCGGCTCTGGACCTGGGATCTGCTAGTGGGGGCGGGTGGGGAGGTGAAGTGTGTCAAGCAGACAGGTACATTGACGCTGTCGCCACCAGCATTGTTAGGTCGTCTAAATTTAAAAATTTACCAGTGCGAGGGTTGAGTTTGACTGGAAGAGACAAAAGTCAGAATATTACTCTCTTTGGAAATAGGTATAATAACCGAAAGTGCTTTTGATATTACACATGTGCTAGAAATATAGAACGTAGAAAAACTTTGCTTACCACTTTATGAGCATAATCCAAGCCACTTTCACCAGCAAGAGCTCTTCCACTTTGGATAGGTTCATCTCGAAGTCGTCTATTGATGAGCGCTGACGCCACTTCAGGGTTCTTAATCAATGTGTAATCGATTTGATAAGGGTACATTTTTAGAGGACAAAATTAAAATAAGGTTAAAAAATAAAATAAATGAAATAATAAGTATGAATGGAGAGCACTCATTTCCATTTATCTGCTGGCGGAACCACAGCTTTTGATTTTTTTTTCTGTTTTTTCATCTCGTTCCGGCTCACCATTCGAGATGCCGAAAAGCTTTCATGAATGTTTTTGATTGTTAACTGCGGCCAAGAACAGCAGTTAACAATCAAAAACAAGTGAAAATCAACTGCTAAAGCTTTCAGCCTCGCGGTTCACTGCCGATATCGGCTAACTGGCTCAACACGCTTGCCCGGAAAGCGAGGGGTGCGGGTTCTAGTCCCGCCTGGGGCGAAAGTTTTGTTCACAACCCAGCATTCTTGTGAAGCTTCCATGAATGTTGAATTATTGGCATTAGACTTAGCCTAAGTCGGGATTTGAACCTTGATCTTGTCATTTCTAATCAGGAGTGCTAACCATTCTACCACCGAGGCATACTTTATCTGGAGCAACGTTGTTTGATGATTAAATGTAATCGTACGTTCCCCCCCCCCCGGTTCTCATAGATTAGCACTACTGCCTGGAAAACAGGAGGTCTAGGTCCTGGCCTTGACTGATTTTGAGGCGCGGTGTCTTGCCCATAGCTCAGCATCTTTGTGATTGCTGTGGTACTGTTAAATATGTCGGCGCATTTCAAAACCCCCCTAGTAGTTCCCCCTGCTTCATGGGGGTGGAATTGATTGATGGTCGAAGATTGGGCCATCAACTCTTCCGATTTTGTCCTGATTATCTATAGCAATGAAAGAAATAAAGAATACGATGGGAGCGAACGCGGGAGAAGTTTACAAGCGCGCCGCTATTGAGAGGGCGGTGAAAGGGAAAGAAAGGATGGGAGCGGGCGTGATTCACAAAAAAAACATAAAATGGGTTGTAAGGGATTTTCAAGAGCAGGATCAATATCGAAAGTACATAACTGTATAAGTATGTACCTGTAGAAGTGCTCTCAGACGAGGGCTGCTTCGAAGTTGATTCACCAGTCGTACTCGTGGATTCTCTTCGATATAAGCATTGTAGATCGCTTCGGGATCCCTGGACCTAGTTGTGATTTTGGGTGGGAGGCGCTCTTCAGTTGGCATGAGAGTTTGCTGAGATTGCTGAAAATGCAATCTTCTACTTATCAGAGGAGACCACTTCGAAATCACTGTGGAAAAGTAAAACAAGGTAGTTCATAGCATCTGGCTACGAAAGGTAGATTTTTATATTATAAGTCATTTCATGTGTTTGATTTGGAGTACAAAACGTCTTTATGGGACCAAAGCAAGTTGGCAAGCTTTCCTGTTCTTCGAGGTAGATTTGTTGGTAGTGGAAGTTTATTGAGATATTGTATCTCTGGGCTGGAAATTCAACCCATGCCCTACCACCGCTACGTTTTTATGCACTGTTTCTCGCTCTGAGACGTGTCGCAGTTGCAGACTTGGATACACGCAGCAGGATATCATCCAAGGGCAGCAGTCAAACGAAGGTCCCGATGACTTACAAGGAAGGTCTTCCAGGGCATGCCGCGCTTTCCCAACATACTTTTTTGCATTATGTCGAGACAAGTGCATGAAACATAGATCTGTGTTTCATTTTCCTGAGCGGCCTTCTGAACGTCAAAAAGGGATGTCAAGATGGTCCATGGTTCGACTCCCCGTGGCGACGAATTTTTGCGTTTTCGACTGGCGCTTCCATGATGTCGCAAAATCATACCCGTAGTCAGTAATGGATGCCATAGTACCATCTTGACCATCAATAACCTATATGAGA